GGGGAAAGGGCAGGGAGGGACAGTGAGGAGACTCCCCTGAGGGAGGCAGGTTTCTGCAACCTGCATGGCAGGGAGATGTGAACCTGAGGGGGCACGACGGGTTTGGAAAGAGACACGGACACGCAAGCAGAGAAAAGAGGGGGTCGGTGGTCCGGGTGTCTCTGATGGAGACAGCAAGGCCCTGAGCCCTTCCGGGCGTATTCCTTTATAGCGCACGGGGTGGGAAAAGGGAAGGGGATGCCAGGTAAAACACCAGGCATCTAGTACCCGCTGAAGCTGTGCAGCATCTAGCCTCCTGCCTTCTGAACAAGCCTCCCTTGTGTTCCCTGACCTCTGTGGACAGTTTCCTCTAACCTCTGCGGCTGTGCAGCGCTGGCCCAGAGTGGGATGAGGGCGGCTGTCCCTGCTCAGCCTGGGCAGCTCCCTACGGAAGATGAACACTGACAAGGACGTGGAGGGCTCTGAAGGCCAGGCAGAGGCCCTGGGACTCCACGGGACAAGACGAGATTCCTCGTTGGCATATGCATGAGGGAGGACGGGGGAGTGGTAACGCAGCAACAGGGGTGTCCGGCATACAAAATGGGCAGGAGGGGGAGAGCAAGGTAGAAGAGTGGGGAGTAGGGAGACCGGGTAGGCCAGTAAATCGTCTTAGCTGGCAACACACAAGACTCCTAGCAGGTAACAGGTAATAGGCAGTAGAGACTGAGGGCCAGCAAGCAGCATGCTGGCTAAGGCACTGGACTCCCCCATGGCTGAGGGCAGTTTGAGTCCCGGACCTGGCAGCTTGCTTTCTGTGTGTGTGTGTGTGTGTGTGTGTGTATTTCTCTCTCTGGTGAGTGCATGTACCCTGTAACAAACTCAAAAATAATAACAATGGTGGGACCAGCAGTTAGCATAATGGCTATGTCACTGAACTCCCACCTAGCCGACCTCGGTTCAAGTCTCAGACCTGGTGGCTTAAACTCACGCCGGGCACGTGTGTGTGTGCCCAAGATCCCGAGAGGAGAATGGAGGAGAAGGGATTGTAGCGTGGCCATCCCTGGGGGGGGATTTCTCGCTGTCTATCTCTGTCTCTCTCTGTCTTTCTGGTAAGTGCACACGCCCTATAGCAAAAAACTCTCAAAAAAATAATAATTATCACAATGGTAATAAAATTAAATACTACTACTTTAAAAACTAGGAATTAGAGACTACAGTGAAAAGTCACATGGTGTTTTCAGGGGAGACAGTGACGGGTGTTTATCATCTGGATAATGAAGCACTAAGGAAAGCTCCCGAGATTGCAGGTCCAGGGGTCTCGAAGAGTGTCGCAGGCTTAGAAGGACCTTCTTGAGCACAGGCCTAAGTCCCATAAAATGTGACCCCAGCATGCAGTAACCGACACTTACCAAGAGGCTGACCACTGTTTAATTAGCAAATGAACCCGTGCGCTTGGACGCCATGGCTGAAGCCATGGCCGAAGGAAACATTCCCACGACAGCTGGGATGCAAACTGAGAGAGTCACAGCGCCCTGCAGCCCACCTCCCAGCAGAGAAGGGACAGTCAGAGCTGGAAACACAAAGGACACTGGTATCTTGGAGTCTTAGGGAGCATTTGGTGGCATCCCCAAATCCTGCAGAAATCACATGGCAGTCGCTGGTGTTTGGAGAGCACAGCATGAGAACTCGAACTGCACTGGTTATGGACGGGAGGGCAGGGGGATCGGCTGTCGGCTAAGTGCTTACGGCCAGGTGCCCCTGCACCCGCTGGTTTTACATGGCCCCCGACGCACCGAACACCAACTGCAGACCTCACCTGGGCGGGGTGCTGCAAACGGTGGAGAACGAGCATTAAACTCCAACCTGACTTTCAAGAACCAGACAGCCTCAGATCGCAGAGACTAAGATCTCAGAGACTAAAAATCAACTGGAGTTTAGGGAACTAAGAGAAAGTTACATATCTTGTGAAAAAGCCTCAAGGTACCTGCTTGGCTTTCTCCCAATTTGCACAGATTTAAAAGCTGTGTCTGTTATTTTTTAAATGGACAAAGTCAGTATTTGCTGCCATAATTTACAACCTGTACAGAGGATCAAAGAGCTGCAAATACTTGATGGACTATTGAGCTTATTGAGGAGAGCTTACTGGGCTTTTACGAACAGTTCTTCCAGCCCTTTCTGTGCCTTGGGGAATAGACAGGTGGTTGCGGTCTGGCGTGGCAGGTCGAGCAGGGCACGAAGATGAACAGACCCACGTGGCTCTTGGTTTTTGATTCCCAAGAGAAGTTTCAGTCACCGTCTTCTCTGTGCAGCAGCCAAACGTCGGGTAGGACGTATTTGAGTCATAGGAAGAGGCCAAGTCGGGGACAGTCGCAGCCACACTGCCCAGAGGAACTGTGTGATCTGCTCGTTACTGAAGGTCTGGCACGAATGTTCTTAAGGTTTGCCACCAAATTCCAAGGGAAAATGAAAGCAGCTTCCAGATGGGCTTTTTTTTGAAAAAAGAAGTAGAGTCCTAGAGGCCAATCCACTGAGCAGCCTGTTTCTAAGGCTTCAAGGTGTTCAGCCATGCAATTTGTGTAAGCACGGAGCTTCGCTCATCTTTAAGGCCACTGATTCCCATAATTTTGTAGTTACCCAGAGGCACTTCCTGGGATGGGCTGTCTGAATGGGCCATGGGGTCTTGCTGGTTTCTGTCTAATACCTGACCAGAGTCTCCCTCATATGATAGAAGGCCTGGGCGTGATGAGCCGGCACACCTACCTGGCAGCCCGTGACATGACAGGTGCAGCTTTCTGACGGACTCAAAAGCCATCCCCACTTCATCGGAAAGAGCAGGCCACAGCAGAAGTGATGCTACAGCACAGCGTGGGGGGCACTGCCTGCCCCAGGGACCCTGGCTACCCTGCGACAGCATGAAACATTCTAACGGCCCCATGGTTCTGTTTTCGTCATACACATCACACAGGTTATAGAGGTACTGCAATGAAGGCCAGGTGGGCGTGAGTTTAGTAAGAATGAACAGCTTTACCCATTCACTTTGTGCTATTTAAAGCTCTGTAGGCCACTGAGTTTATAAGAGAAATCTTAAAACAGAGAGGCTCGAGTCGGGCTTCTTGGGTCAAGGCCGTTGGCAATGAAATGTAGCCACAAGCTCATCAATACATGACCAGGTGATGTGTGCTAAGATGCGTTGGTGGTATGAGAAGTTGAATTCGACTGAGAAGGGGAAGTGAAAGAACCAACACACTAATAACCACAGGAAGCCCTGGAAACTACTCGTACATTCCTCAGAAAATGCACTGCATTGGAAAAGAACATTCGCTTCCTACTCGAGGTCATTTTGGACAGTATCACGAGCCCGCCCCGCCTCACCGCCTCCTTCGTTTTCGGTACCTTCGCGATTCTTACATTTTGGCAGTTCTGAAGAAAGACTCTAATTACTTTTATTTAGTGTTATAAAAAGTCCCCAAAGAACTAAATATAATTAACAACATGTCATGTCGGAAGACTGTTAGATTTCATCTAGGAATGTTCATGTAGGAAGTTCAAGACCAAACTGATCTGAGTCGTCTTGTCGAACTGCCCACTGTGAGGGCCACGGTGGACTGGAGTGGGAAGGGATTCCGGAGGGACAGCTCCGGAGACGTGGACTGAGCTATGCAAAAGCCTCATCTTGTTCTCAGGATCGCTTTTGCAGTCTTGGCTTTTCCGCCCCCTCTCAAAGTCAGGAATGGCTTTCTGCTGTAAATCTCCCTTGCTGAATTAGCAGGCCTGCCTCTGGTGGAGATGTGTGCTTTCCTTGCATTGGACTGGCAGCCAAGATGACCCAGCGTCCCTGTAAACTAGCCCCTGAAACATCTCGGCCCAACAATAGCTAGTTCCCATTAATACTAAAAACATCAAAGTCAGTAGTCCACCAGGAAGACTCGTTTCAAGAATCAGAAATATATACCACATTTAAAAGCCTAATAATGCACATTTTGACCAGCCTGCATTGTGTGAAGAACTGTCGTATTAGCAGGAAAGAGTTAAAACCCACAGAAAGATTTTTGTATCAAGAATTCCCTTCTGAAAAACCCTGGCCTAGTGAGTTGACTTTTCTATTCCGTCTGATCTCGATCTTTTTCCAATGTACCTACAAACATGAACATGTCAGAAAGAAAAGGGACCGAAACAAAGGCATGAGGAGGAATTGCTGATTATGAAGGTCGCCAGGTCGTCAGTGACTCGCAGACTGGGAGCCCCAGCTGTTATTTGTGCTCAGTAACTGCTGGATGGGAGGGGACGCCAGTGGCCAGCAATGACTGGGGAGGAGGAGCCACGGGCAGGGAGGTGACCCAGCGAGGGACAGGCACATGGCTGCACAAATAACTCCAACATGAATCACACCAAGCAGAGTGTCCAACTGGAGCAAGATTTCAAAAAAAGACTCATAAAAAGGAATTAGGGTCATTGTTGGAGATTATCCAGGGTTTATTTGGAATGACACAGCACTGAGAACATCATTCTTACAGATGAGTTGTGGGCACAGCATACATTACCTCTTGTATTTTAGGGCGATCTGTGAGGACGAGCTGCATAAATACAAAGGAATGGAAATACAGAAGCTCTGTTTTGATAGTGTTCTTTTGGGGGTGAATTAATACGCCCCGTCTTCTAGCCAATCTCAGAAAGGCCGAAGTGAAGACTGCTGCACATCCGGACAAGACTACCCCCAGCTGCAGTGGCGGTGGCCGCCCAGGGGGAGCCAGGCTCTGCTTTCTCGGACGGGGCGACAGCTCGGGCGTGCAAGTCATCATCTCATCCCGAAAACCGCACGATACAAACACAAACTGCCGACTGTTTTGGCAATGGGATGGCTGGTTCTGCCTTGAGGCAAAACGGCAACTGTCATGCCGAGAGAACGGGCAATGCATGTATCATGACACTGGAGGCAACGCTAGGATGGAAAGGGAAGAAAGCAGCTATGTATATGTCCCTTCCGCATACACATAGATCAGCGGTCATGGGAACTAGTGTGTGATGGCGTGTGTGTGTACATATCCACACGCACACAGATAGGTGTGTTGGAAAATAACATTGAAAACTTTTGCAGCAGTTTAATTTTAAACACAGTAAACCTGAAAGGGAGGGAGCGCATGTGCTCACACCGGGCAAGGGAGTCAAATAATCTCTCTAACTCATGGCCCCTTCGCAGGGCAGCTGCTCGGCACCACTTGCTGCAGAGAGTTTAAGGTCTGGTCTGGAGAAAGCTACTTTAGAACTGGCAGGAGGGGAACAATACGAGAGTCTCCACAGCTCGGACAAAGCACAAACAACCTGCTATCAACAACATGGGAACGAGAGAGGACTTTTTCCTGGATTTACGTTTTTTCTGACATTTCTTGCACACATGCTCCATGGATACATCTTCTCAAGCGTTGTCTGGCATCAGTCGGTAACTCGGGAAGAGTGTGATAGCAAAAGTGAACCCTTCAGGTTTTCACGAGGTTAAAAACCCAGGCGTTGAGCTTTCTGCAATACTTGTTGCCCTACTCCAGGCGCCGAGTGAAGTTCTCTGGGAAGAGGCCTTTGTAGGTGGTGAGGTCTCTGTACTGGAGCCAGTCTGATTCCTTCACTCCCACCAGCCAGCCTGCGTCCTGGAAGACAACAGCAGAGCTCTCAGGGTCCAGCGAGCTACTAGAAAAGTCCACACTGCAACAAGTCATAATTTGTTACGTTGCTGTCGTGTTCCTCCCAAATGTCACATCGCTACAAGGCAGTATGTTGCCATGGGTGGGAAGGTCTGTCCCAAATTTGTTAGAATTTGTTGGAATTAGTTATTTAGTGTTTAAAGTATAGTTAATGAAAGATTAATACTGATAACACTTTGAAGAGAGCTAAGTTAATTAATATTAACTTGACTATAATTTTTCTTTCTTAGATTTTTTCTATAGGGCACATGTATTTGCCTGAAGAGACGCTGACAGAGAGAGAAGGGAAGTAAGAAATCATCCCCCGGGGGAATGTAATTTCTACAATTACGAAGAAAGGAAAACCATGTGAAAAGCACTTCATACACAAGAACGTTATCTGTCCTGTGAGGCCCAGGGAAAACAGGCTTGAGGCCCCTTGTGTTAAACTCTGGTACTGACAAGGTCATGGGAAGTCTTGTACTTCATCCTGAGCCAGTTACTTAAAAGAACTTTTCCCTAGGTCACATCCTAAAACCCAATAATCCACCCTACAAAGCGCTTATCAAATACTGGAGTGTTGTCTGCTAGTACTCAAATACTCAAGTGTTGTCTGCTACTACTCAAATACTCAAGTGTTGTCTGCTACTACTCAGATACTCAAGTGTTGTCTGCTACTACTCAAATACTCAAGTGTTGTCTGCTACTACTCAGATACTCAAGTTGTCTGCTATACTGCTGCATTCTTGATCTGACTCCTGATTTGTCAAGTTTCCACACACTACAAAGCAGTTGGGTGTCACAACATTCATGCTGGAGACATTCATGCATTGTTTACAAATGATTCCTCTCAGATCTGTCCGTCAAAGGAGTGCCCTATAAAAATAAAGACATTGGGCCAAAGAAGGGTTAAAGACATCCTCGTAAGTCCTATGTAATGGGAGAGGGTTCTCAAAACTGAGGAGCAGAGAAGCCTCTGTCTGCCCTGGCCTACTGAGGATACACAAAGGCCAGTCGGAGAAAGCTGAGCTGGAAGGAACCAGAGAAAACATACAGAAGGCCAGAAGTGAAACTTGCAGAAAACGACTGTGGAGGACAGAGATGAGGGATGGCCAGATTTCACTGGGACCAGTTTCCAGGAGAGTTCAAGTACATCAGATAAAATGGGGTCTCCAAAATTAAATACAGAAGCTGAATACAGTCCCTTTTGATATCATCTGAAACTATAAATTGATGTTGCCATCTAGACAAGAAATATAGATGTTCAGACAGGCCAATTTTTGAAGGCAGAAAAAAAAAAGCACTGAGAAGAAAATGGCCCAATAAAATAACTGATAATATCCTAGCCGATGAGGGAAAGTAGCCTCTTTGGAATGACGATGGCATATATGTGAAGGACGCAGTTATACGGAACCTGAAAGACGGCAACTAAACAGTCTCTAAACCTCCAGTAATCATATAAAGGTCATTTCCCCATAAGTGTCTCTATTTGACTTCATTTCCTATACAAGTGGCTACATTTGACTTTATTTATATCTAATTTATAAGTGAGTGAAAACCTAATGGAGCCAAGTAGTCACATTTTAAAATGTTTCAATAAGACGTAAAGACTGCTGCCAACTCATCCACAATCAAGCTCCATTCCCACACATATATTCTGAAATACGACTTATGTCATACAGAGTATTAGCTAATATAAATCTTTAGCTGAGAAAAATATGGGAAATTAAATTTGAACTATTTAACATCAGTGAAAGACAAAGACTCCAATTTGGGTGAGGACAGAATAACTTGGACAGATGCTTCTGCACAGAGTGATGACAGACGCTGGGGTAATTACCTGCCTCTCTGTATCTCTATACTATACCTATAAACATGGTCACACTTACATCTACACAGAGCTACTCGTTATAAAATATGCCATCTGAAATAGGAGCTCATGCTACTTGAAGATGTGGGG